GGGAGGGGGGCTCCCCCCCCTCTCAGGGGGGGTCCCCAGAAATCCTACAGGAAATCCTGGTTTGATATTCCACGAAGTGATTCCTCATCACCAAACCAGCATTTTTCCCCCAATAATTTTTTAAATCAAGAGTAAGAAGAAATTCATAAACATGATGCTCAGAGGAAGGAGGGTGTGGCTGAGAGTCTTGGATGTAGGGGGTATGAGGGGAGCAAGTAGGTATCAAGGGGTAAGGGAGAGACTTCAGGGTAGTGGCAGATCTGAGGTGGGCAGAGGGGCCAGGCAACTGCTTTCCTCTTCCCCAGCTCCCTCTGCCTCTTCCTCAGCACCCCCTTTTGGAGGAAACTCTGGCAGCATTTTTGCCTAAAAGGGAGAATGTATAAAAATACTATAGGAAAGGGAGGGAAAGAAGCAAAAGGTGAAAGAGAAAGAGAGAGAGAGAGAGAAAAGAAGGAGAAAGAACTCAGAGTCTTTCTAGACACATCAACTCCTGTTTATGTTGGTGAGAATTTATGATTTGGAGCCATTGAGGGCCGGTGGGGTAATTCACGTAAGATCCAGCCAGAAAGAGAAGGCTGGTGGAGCTCTGATGGACATTTAGCATCTTGCAAGCTCAAGCCCTTGCACACGTCAGAAGCCCCCTGCCCCCTCTGGGCTCTCTACCCTGCTAAGGGAGGCATCCTTGGACCTGAGCTCTGGGGCTTGGAGATTCCAGCAAAGTGTTCCTGGGGAGCTCTCACACGAGGGTCAGCCATACCTGGTGGGGCCCAGCCTCTCAGCAGCCCCTACCCACCCCCCTTTCTTTCCACCTTGAGGCTGAGAAAAAGGAAGAGAAGGTTAGGAGAAGGCAGCTGAGTCCGAGGTTTCTGAGGGAGCCGCAGTGGGCGAACTGAAGCAGCGGAAGGTGTGCAGATGGGGTTTTACTCCTGATTAATCCAAACTTAATTTGCTATCCTGACATAGGCTAAAAAGACTTTGAGTTGACAAAGAAGGGGTGGTGGGGCAAGTGAAGAGAGCAATGGAAGCTCATATTTTCCCCTCATCATTTTTTTTGGGGGGGAGGACTGGCTATAACAAGGACCCGGATGTCGCCAGATTTTATGATCTTTTCCTTCTGTGTAACAAAGCGGAGTAATCAATGGGTAGCAATAAAGCCATAAACGGGACTATGCTGGGAAAAAAACTCGTTTATTCATCTTCTGTAACGTTAAGGTTTCCCTGGAGTGTCGCTGGGTGTGTGGGGGATAAAGTTTTTGAACCCAAAAGCAGACAGTGTGTAGGAGCCGGTGGCGACAACATGTTAGTTAATCCATGAAGCTCCTTACCGGGTTGAAGAGTCTTCCTGCCAAATAATTTGTGTTGGCTTTTGAAAATACAGGCTCAGTCCTTCAGAGAAAGGAATTTGCTGTTATTTAGAAGGGTAGGGGAAAGACCCCTTAATTACAAAGGTTCTTCCTCTTGGACCATACTTTCCTCTCCCCACGGAGATGAAGGTGAAAGGGTAGAGGAGGGTTCTTAAATTAAGAAGAAATTTTTAGATGAATCGTCTCATTTTGGGGTGACGTGGCAGGTTCACAAACACAGACACTAGCGTGAATTGCTATCCCCTCTAGAATCCAGTTGTCCTCCAATTCATGGCATGCCTGAACAGAGGTTTCCAACAGCTGGCTGGGGCTCCAGGCCCCCTGGAGGGCAAAAGGGAGAGAGAGAGGGAGAAATAGGGGCGGGGAGACCCAGGGGGCTGAGCTAAGGAACAAGTCAGTGCACCCCTGGACACGAGTAGCCGCTCTCAGAGTTCCCAGACTCATTTCTGCCCTAAGGGTAGTGGTGTAACACGTAGAACAGGCCAAAGAAAGAGTAAATTCCACCCCCCATTTCAGAAAGAGATTGCTTGAGGGATAAATCATGTCAGTGATATTTCCTGCAAGATATTAAATTGTTGCAATGTACAACAAATTGAATGATGGAAGATAGGACATCTTAATGAAGTTTTGCTTTCAATGAGTGTTGATTTTCTATGTATTTTTAAATCTCTTTTATGGGTGGGTGGGGGAAGGAAGGTCCTTGGAAGAAAGAAAGGGCTTCTGGGGAAACACGTAATGCAGCTCTTCAGCAAGGATGCCTGAGTTTCCTTGAGCCCCTCCTAAACCAAGTCTAGAGGGGAAAGGGGCCCCAAAGTTGGGGAGAGTCTCCTTTGGGCCTAAAGGCAGTGGGGGGGAGGGACGACCTGAGCAAAATCTCAGCCCCGGAAAGTTAAGTGTTTTATTACGTCCCTAAACAGAGGGCAGAGACTAAAAGGTCTCTCGGATTTATAATGAACAGAAACCAGCTGCTGGGGGGCGGGGGGCAGAAATGTTGGGAGGGGGAGAGAAGGGGAAGCAGAAACACAAATAATTTTCCCCAAAGCTTAAAGACTTTCAGCAAAATTAATTTCCACCACATTCTACCCCCTCTCCTTCCGTTCCTGAGGAAAGAAGCTTCCTTCTTTCAGTTAGATCTTTAATTATGCAGCTGAAATTTGCTGGAAGGATTCGCTCCAAGGGGGGAGAGCAGGTCAGATGAGCCCGATCTTCCCTCCATTGGATTACATTTTCCTCTTCTCATTTTATGTTAATTTCTTTCTCTTTTTTTGGCAAAAGAACGACTGTCTATGGGGAGAAAGCTGGGACTTGGGTTTTTCTAAATATATTTCTATTTTCCTGTTAAATTTGTCTGAAAACAATTATGGAAACTCATCAACAGAAGCAAGAACAGATGTTTTATTAAAACTGCAGTTGAGCTCTGTAAATATGCACAAGTCCTAGGAAGGGGAGGGATAACTTGTTCTTTGTTTCTATAAAACAAGCCTGGAGAATCAGAGAACACCCCCCATCAGGCCCGCAGGTCTCGGAGTTGCTCTGCCCTTTCAGCCTCGGAAATCAGGCATTCCGAGGGGGTTTGGCAACAAGAGCAGATTTTTGCTTTGGGAGCTGTAATTAGTGGATTCAAAAACAGAATTCAAACAACACAGAACAGGAATAAAGGGGGAAAGTTGCCGCTTGCTGCTCCAGCCCCCTCCCCAATCCAAAACACATGCTTTTCACAAGCACTAATTATAGGAGAGAAACTTACTGCAGGCATGCCATGAGCCTGAGTGGGGGGCAGTTACTGGTCACGAGTCCCCAAGGCTAAGGGTCTAATTGGAAGCTGGGCACTTGAGGGTTTCCCAAGGCTAGTCAAGCACTCCTACCCGGAGCCTCACCCTGCTCCAGGCCAGGGCCTGGGGGCCTGTGTGCCTCTGAAGGGGGAAGAGGGTGGGTGGAACTGGGCTCTGGCCGAGAAGGGATTCGTAGTCAGGCCTCACCTTGCTTGCCTTTGCTTTCCATTCTGCTCTGGGAAATATATTAATTTCTTAGGGAAGGGTATCTGAAGTGAGAGGGATGAGATCTGGAATTTTTACTTGGGAGCAATCTTTTCCAGAGGTCCTGCTAGTTTGTGTTCTGCCAGTTTTTTCTCTCTCCCTAGATCCCCCAAGTCTGCGTGTGGATGTCTGTGACCCACCCAGTCTCCCATACAGATACACACACTCCTTTCCTGGCTGCCTGCGCCACCAGCTACAGCTCGGCGCCTTCGAAGGCTGCTCAGGGACCCAACACTGGAGCCGCAGTACTCAGCTACTCAGCGCTCGGCCTCGGCCTCGGCTGGGCTGGTGTTTAGCTGCCTGGAAGCCATCGCAGCTGCCTGACCCACCCGCCAATTCTTAATTTCCAGAGCTGGAAGGAGCTGTTGCCCCACCGGCCCCTTTTGTACCACTGGGCAAGGGCTGAAATCCCTCTTGCAGAGAAAGCTGAGTTTCAGGACTTGTTCAGCTCACTTCACAATCGCACTGTTTGGTTAAGACTTTGCTGTTCTAAAGCGACTGACTATTCACTTGGCCCCGACTGGTCTATGATTAGCTTTTGTATTTAAAAAAAAATTTTTTTAAATCCTACTCCAAATGCCCAGTGTTTTGTGCATGAACTCCTTTGATCTCCACAGAATCCAGAATAAAAGGATTGCAGAATCTCTCAGTCCACCACCAAAGAACCTGAACGCAGGGAACTGGGTCTGCTTGGAGACATCAAAGAATAGCTCACTCTAGGAGCCCCCAGTTTCTCACAGATATGTGGGAGAAGTTGTCTGAGTACATACCTCCCCATATGCACATTGCATTCCCAAATATGCTCCTTCTCCTTTCAAAGTTCAGGCAGGGAGACACTTGGAGAAAAGTGAAATTTGACACACCCAACCCGGAAATGGATTCCATCAGGGGGTGCTGATATTATAAAGGGACATGGCCCCAGCTGGCCAGCTGAATAAAAT